TCTGCTTTAAATGATTTTTTGTTTTTTTTTTGGCTTTTTTTTTGGAGACAGCAGTCTCGCTCTGTCCACCAGGCTGCTAGTGCAGTGGCAGCGATCTTGCTCACTGGACTCTCTGCCTCCAGGTTCTACCATATCTCCTGCCTCAGGCTTCCTGAGTAGCTGGGTCAGGCGCCCCCACCCACACCCCGGCTAATTTTTTTTTGTGATTTTTTTTAGTAGAGATGGGTTTACCATGTTATGTTAGCCAGGATGATTCAATCTCCTTGACCTTGTTTGATCCACCCGCTTATTGGCTCCCCAAGTGTGCTGGGATTACCGGGCATGAGCCACTCGTGCCCAGCCTAATTTTTCATTTTTTTTTTTGACGGAGTTTCACTCTTTGTTGGCCCAGGCTGGACGTTGCAGTGGCATCTGATCTCAGCTTTGCTGCAACCTCCGACCTCCAGTGGTTCAAATGATTTCCTGCCTCAGCCTTCCCAGCAAGCTGGGATTACAGAGTTGGCCCACATCATGCCCAGCTAATCTTTTGTTATTTTTTTAGTACGAGACTGGGTTTTTACCATGTTGGCCAGGCTGATCTCAAACTCCTGACCTCAAGTAGATCTGCCCACCTTGCCTCCCAAATGCTGGGGATTACAGGTGGAGCCACTGCCACCTGCTGATCTAACTATTTTCTCTAAATGGATACTGCATAGTTCACAGTTTATTTCAGTGTTGGTCTATCCGTTGAGAAGTTGGTAAATGTTTTTTGTGACCGAAATAATTACTAGAAGTTTACTCTTGTTTATATCAGTCCTATGGTAAAATTTTGGTCATTTTCGTTAAAGTTGCAGTCTGTTTCTAAGAATCCATCGAATTGTCAAGTGAGACTTACTAATATGATGATGTGACTGCTTCAAGAATTTAATGCCAACAAAGGTTCCAAGGAACTCTAGTTATTTTATGCAAAACACATTCAAACATTTCCTGGAACCGATAATTCACTGTATGTGATGTGTTTGAGAAAAAAATAAAAATATACAAAGTTACCTTTGAACTAGGCTGTATTATCATGATTTTTTGGGTTGTGCAAGGCCATAAAAACCTTTGCACAGCTCTGGGGAGAGGGAGATCTGAAAATTTTGAGAGCCTGATTCCTCACAGTTTAGCTATAATAGGTTGGATAGAAAAAAGTTCAATAAAATATTTCTGTTGTATAATGGGATTTTGCACCTTCCACCGCTTTACTCAAGGGTTGCAGTTGTTTGACAAGTGCCTCGTGATCCGCCCGCCTCTGCCCCCGAAAGTGCTGGGATTACAGGCGTGAGCCACCGCACCCAGCCCACATTTTTCTTTAAAAACTGCCAAGCACGTCACGCTACGTGTAGAATTCTGTTCTGATCGACTCCTTCCCAGGTTTCTGAGATCTGGCTTCCAGCGTTGCCACTCTGCTGTGTTTGCCTTTCTGCTTCTGTCCTGAGGACCCCTCTGCTGCCTTTGATTGTGTAAACCTCCTTCCTTTTCTTTCCAGTCTTTTTAGCCTGATTTCAGGGCTGCTCTATTCTGGTTTCTCTTTCCATTCTGCCCCCGGCCTCTGTTCTGTCTGCATCCTGGCTCTGATAACACGGCTGTCCTGCTGGGTTGAGTGTGAGGCTCCCGCTGGGACAGCCTCTAGATTTGTTCCATGGACCAGTGAATTTACTCCCATGGCGTTACTGGCCAGCTCCGAGTAGATGCCTTGGTAATTCTACATCTCATGTCTCCATGGCATAGCAGGTCTGAGCTCTAATCCCTGATTTGGTGTTTGGAGTGAGAAGAACTGTATGTTCGTTAAACTATTTCCATATGCTTAACAAGAGTAGGAAGGGGATGGGTAAATTAAAAAATGGCAGATCTCTACTGACAACTAGAAGTTGGAGATGTCTGGGTCACACCTCTCGCACTAAGGAAGGGTCCAAGTGCAATTATCGTGTTTCTCATAGGCTCAACCACTGTCAGATACAAAAAGGGGAGTTGAGGGACTCAGGAATATTAGACAGTCCTTCTTGGAACTAACCCATTATGATATTTCTTTTATTACTTCATACACCATTGATTACCCTGGAAATTCATGTATTTTAGAGATCATCTAGTTAAAACTCTTCATTTTACACAGGAGAAAATAACAGTGCTAACACATAAAGTGATTTTTATGAAGATCAAATGCCTAGAAAGAGAAAGGAGGAACTGGAATTGGTATTTACAGAAGCTGGTTCTTGCAATCTTTCCATAGCACCAATTTATCAGAGACAAATTGTTATATATCAGAGATAAATTGTATATATCAGAGATAAATTGTATGTATCAGAGATAAATTGCATGTATACCCATGAGAAGCCCTAAAACCTGTTGCTTCCTATGCTCCTCTCTAGAAATAGCTGAAACACACCTACAACTGGCGTGAGATATTCTCCAGGAGGGAACTTTTCTCTGCGGTTTTTCTTTGTGATTCCTTATTTTCCATGACTGTTCGTTCACTGTCACGATGTGACATGCAGACTTTCATCTTCACTGTATATGCTTCGGTGTGGCTACCTATCAAAATCTGATACCTAATTATGTCTTCTCAAATTTGTGAAAGGGAGAAAGCGTAAACTTTGGAGGATTTAGAAAACTTAAAATGACTTTTTTTGTTTTAGCTTTAATTAAAGATCTCACAGATACATCAAACTTTTCAGTGTCGAGCCTCAGCATTTTAGTAAGCTGTATAAACCAATCTCTAGTATCATGACTACATGAGGTTTCTATCATATTTTATACTAATGTTACCATAGTAAATTGGGTTAAAAGCTCCTGGCTATTTGAATAGCACAATCCTTGAGACATTTTATTAAAAATGTTTGGGGGCCCATCAACACAGATGAAACAATCTACCAGTTATTAATTATGTGTTTAATTCAGTTACTTTATAGTTCCCAGGGACTTTTATTAGTAAATAAATTCATTTATTCACATACCTGTTTTGAAAATATTGCCAAATCCCATGCTTCTCTTTCTGAAGTTGCTTTCGAGTCTTTGTTATCCTTCATCTTGATATTATTGGTTTCCTCATGTTTTGTGGGATAGGAATACAAATTCTGAGTGTTTCTTGCTACTTCTGTTGGTGTTGTGACAATCCTCTGATGCTTAAAAGAAGACATCTTGTCCTTCCTCACCTGCTGCCTTCTCTTGTAACCCCGGTATTTGCTCTGAATGAATACCGCTGCTTTATCTTCTTCCTCCTGGGCCTGTGTCACCGGTTCAGCTTGCCTCTCTTTGACTGTCTCATGCCTCCGATGGCTTCCGCCTCCCTCCGGGCTGCATATCGGTGCACTCTGGGTAACTACAGATGTCTTCTTTTCTTTTTCCGTGCTATTTGCATTTTGATAAACTGACCTTTGGCTAAGTGTAGGTTCCAAAATTGTTTTAAAGGAAGTCTCATTTTCAGCTAACCAAGGCACTGGGTAGCTTGGCCTTTCCGACATGGCCTTCCTTTCTAGATATGCTGCTTTCGACTCTTCACAATTCCTCTCCTCTGTGTACCTCTGACAGTAACTCTGGATCATAGCTTCCTCTTTCTCTACTTTCGTTAGCTTGCTGTTCTCTTCCAGGTCTTTGATAGACTTCTGTTTGGGGCTTACTTCTGGCCCTACAAGGTAGAATTCTTGCTTAACCTCTTCTTCATACACATTATTCATTTTTTTTGGAGTCTGATACTCTCTGTTGTTACTCTCCACAGCATTGGTGGTTTCCTCTTCAGGTTTGAAAGTGGAAGTCTTCACTACAGATACACTTCCTTTATTATTTGGAGCTGAAATGAATCTTTCATTAGCAGAGATTGCATTTTCTGCTTGTTTCTTCATGAAAGATTCCCTGTGTAAAATATATTATCTTTGAATATACAATACTAAACTGGGGCTTATTACTTCTTTTGGCAATAGCTATATGCTAGACACTGGTGGGAGAAAGGCAAAAGGAACAAAGAAAGCTCAAAATTAAAATGTCTCAAGTCACATTAATCAAGTGCTTTCCAGAATGTTCTCTCCGGTGACAACTGTGATAACTACTCAAATAATGAGAAAACCAGATTCAACTCAGAGTGAGAAATATCCTAGCATATGAATAACCATCTTTTCATTTAATTAGATATCAAAATTCTAGGAACTTAATCCTTTCAAAATATATCCTTTTCAAAACAACATACTTTAGTAGTGAGATGCTGTGAAAAATATACCTAAGTTTGATACCAGTAAGCAGGGTATGTTCACTTGACTGACATACTGTACTTTAATAAGCACTAAGTTTACTGATCAGAGGAAATATCTTATAAAATTAAAGGAAAAGCAATGTCCTCGCTACAGTTCATGATCATGTAATACGGTGGCCAAAATTTCACAGTTGCTACTTTGCTAATATCCTTCCAAAATGATTTCCCTTCACTTGAAGATAAGGTCTTCTCTGTATCTTTTTTTTTTTTTTCTAGCCAAGAGCAATACCGCCAAGAAAAAGGTTAAGATGGAATAAAAATGTTGTACAATGACACCTTGATATGCTAACACTTCTCATTGCTACTTGGAGGGCTTTTGCACCAAACTTTTCATCTCAGCCCAGAAACCCATGTGAGAGTTTGGGTCTTTTGTGATCTGTTTGTGAAGTCAGACTGTTCTTTGAGTCAAATCTGGAAAAAGCTACTGGGATTCCATTTTTCTAATTCTATTGGCCACTTCCTAAGACTAGAATTACTATGGTATCCCTAGGCTAATACAGGAGGCATAACAGAATCCTGCTAGGATCAGTCAAAAAACTAGGTAGGGCATCAGAGATGCCCATGATTTTGATGAATCGCTACGCTAGTATTTTGAATTCCTCCATAATACTGACCTCTCTGAGAATGCTTACATTTATTCAAAATACAACTAATGAGAGAAGATATGCGTGCAGTCCCTAACTGACTGCATTCCAAAAAATCAATTTATAAGTTAGTTTTGATCCTTTAAATGCATTTCACTGGTGAAGACTTGTACACACTGCTGAAATTCCCACATCAGTTATACGTCTAGGCTCAGGCGACTCCACCCTGTGCTGTGGCTGGCTGAGGACCATGTGCAATGATGGGTACTTCTGAGGATCAGCCCTTCAGAGCTCCAGCATGAGGAGGACTGTCGATCTCTTCTGACATCTGCCGGAGAGCCCTGCCGGCCTGGGCCTTTCTCCAGCTCCCTGCTGTGGTATTCTAGGTCACAGGTCAGGGGCTCTGACAGGGAAGGGTTAAGTGAAAACAAGGGCTTCTGGTAGCTGAGGGAATAGGAAAGTCAGAAGTGGCAGAGGGAGGGAGTCCTGGCCCGCAGATCTCTGGCAGTGGTCAGGCCCACCTGCCTCTCCCTTCCCTAACCTTCCTCTCTACAAGCTTCCCTTGACTTTCTGCCTGTACTGCTTTTATGTCTGACTTTGTGATCCACCTCCTATGAGAGCCCAATACATGTCAAATTCTCCATCCCAGACCACAGAGACCATAGCTTCTTACTCACACTCATGTACCCTGAAGTAGATCTTGTGTGCAGTAGGTGCTTAATAAGTATCTGCTACATTGAAAGTGAATCCCTGGTATCCTCAGAAGAAAGGTGGTAGCAAATGGGTATGTAATTGAACATCACACTTCCTTATTAGATGTGATATCTACAAGCAGTAATTTCTAGAAGTAGTACAATTAGTCCATCTTTCTTCCATTTGCAGCCAGTTTACATTTCTCTCAACCTCCAGACTGAAGTACAAGAGTCACAGGTATCATCCAGCCTTCTGCTCCTGAGGCAGGCCTGTGATGTTTGGAAGTTTGCTGAACTGTTTTATAGCCGGTAACAAAGAGAAACAAATCATTTGGATCCTCACGCAAAGACAAAGAGCATATATGTAGGTCTCAGAAAACACGAAAACTTAAAACATCCAATGTCTCTAAACTTCAGATAAACATTCCTGTTTTTCAAATAAGGAAATGAGGTTGGCCTGAGGGATTCAGGGAGTGTGTGGGTGAAGGTGAGGGGAAGAGGTGGCAGAGAAGTCTTCTATGAGATCATTTATGAGACCACTATTGGCAGGAGAGAAGAATAGCGGTGGGTGAGGAGAACATTAGATGTGGGTGTGTGGGGAAAGAAGAAAGCCAGGAAGCCCCCTCTTCTTCTGTTTCATTCCTTCACCCTTTCTATGGCCAGTTTTGATGTTAAAAACAAGGGGACTAGCATTGGGGCTGGAATGATCTTTATCTCCCTGTACTCAGTTTGATCAATTCAAGTTTCACCTCTTGGGCAAAATGTAGATATTTTTCCCTTTCCCTAACCACTACCAACCAAGGAAGGGTTCCCTCCTCCTTGCCCCCAGTGTACCCTTTGCCTATTTTTATAGCTGAGTTAACACATTTTACAAGAGGGATGTGTTTGTCTGTCATTTTTTCCCCATAATACTGTGAGACATTTGAGGATAAGGATTTTGCTTCACGTATCTATGTGTTCCCACTGCCCAGTATAAAGCCTGCTGAATAAGTGAGTAAGTGGTTTTCTAACATGCACTTGGAATTATAGACATGAGGGCTCAGAAGAAGAAAGGGAGCTGGTGATTATGATGTAGGGGCCGATGGCATATTGGCTCTTAAAGCCACTGGAATGAATGAGAGAGCCCAGGGACACATTTAGATATGGATGAGGATTGAAATGTGGGGTTTGGAGGACGTATTAGCAAAGAACCCTCCGAATTAGTAGTAGAATTATAGAAAGCAATCTGGTAGAAGCCAATGAAGAAAAATTTTGAGAAATAACTCCAAAATAGAATAGAGAACACAAAAGTAGCCTCTGGGTGTTCACTGACATTTGATGTGTCAGTATCAGGAAGCTGGCTAGTATGAGAAAGGCTATGAACATTATTCTATGACCTTACAGATCTGAAAAATCTGTGTTACAATGGTTTAAGAATAAACATCATTATACCTTGTATTTTCAAAGTTTTTCTGGTAGTCGAATTCCTGATCAGAAGTCTGAATGGTTGTTACTGCTGTGTTTTTCACGTTAACAATTTCTTTTCTTTGTTTCCTGACAAGGTGTCCTCTTGCAGCTGAAACATATAAAACCCATAGTAGTGTTAATCATAAGGAAATAAAAGAAAATTACTTTAGTGAGTAGAAACAGTGGTTTTGACCATTGATGTCAAAGAGAAAAATAAAATTAAAATGCCAAATAGAACAGGTTCACTTAATGTGATTCATTAACAAGATTCTTCTACATAGCAAGCTACAGCAATAATAACTAAAGTAACTTTCATACTAAGAAGAGTACTAAAATGAAACCAAAATAATAGAGACAAGTAAAGTTGATGACAAAGTGTGTTCATTTGCTTAAAATTTGGTAATAATCATTTTCCTTTTTTGTTATGTGTTTCATATATTTTGGCCAGATATATTTCAGATTATCAGATGATATATTTGAGAATTCAGATTAATTTTTTTTTAAGTTTTAGAAAGTTAATACAGAGCAAATAGATATTCTGTAACATTCCCTATATCAGGGCAGCACCCAATAATCAATGACTATTTCTTCAGAAAAACAGAATATTCTTACTGAGTTGGGTGAGTAAAGCACTGTAAATTACCTCATTATCACATTGTTATGTTTCACTGCCAAAGGCACTATGAAGAACCTTTTTATCAGAGCTTTATAAATTTTGAAATTGCGGATAAAGGATTAAAGCCCAAATTACTGGGTTTGCATTTTGATTTCTCAGTGAGAAGTTAAGGGCTTAAAATACAAAAAGAGATGATGATGACTCATTGCTGATTGACAGAATGGGGACTGGAATGTTAATCTCTTGAATGTCAGTCAACTCCTCTGCCCACGATATTAGTGTTCTTCAGAATGCAGGCTGCAAACCATTAGTGGATCATAAAATTGATGTAGTAGGCCAAATCTAGCATCTAAAAATGAAATGGAATAGACTAGAATTAAAAATATCAGAACGCAATGCTTGTAGTGTGTGTGTTTATCAGGTTAAAAAGCAAAATACATTTTTTTCTCTAAGTGTCCAGTCAAAACATTTTGAAAGAGAGCATACTAACCTGTGACAAGCTCTATCTAAATTTCGTTTCTTATGGAAAAGTAGAAAGCAAAATCTAAAGTCTATTAATACAGCTTAATAAAAGTTTGTGAAATAAAGTATGGTTATAAATATTATTTCCCTACAGTTAATAGAAATAAATGGATGCCCTTTAACAAAATAAGATTTAAGTTGTCAAAAATTATGGCAAGTGTAACCTTTGGAATAAAGTAGAAAAGAATCTTATTGTCCAATGAGCTATAATAATATGATTCTTGAGATCTATAATTAATCATTTGCTATATCTTCCACAATAGGTCAGTTGTATTTCATTAATTCTTGACAGAAAAGTTAAAAATTATTTAAGACAAAGCATTTATCCAAATATTAAAAGTGTCAATCACTAAAACAATCTGACTTAGATTTAATATAGCAAAAGTATCAAGGCAATAGAGTCTGGAATTAAACACAAAAGCTACATAAGAATTGGAGGTTTGCCTGTAAGAAGTATTATAAGATATGATTTTATGACCATATCTAAATATGTCAAAGAGATTACCTGACTGTATTATTATAGCGCTTTCCTTCCTTTTCTCCTGTATTTTTTGGTATCTTCTTGAACACAAGAATGCTCTGACACAAGCTTGAATCAAAATAAGCTTGTCAATAGCTTCCTTTCGCATTAGATTTAACTGTTCCACGTGATAATATTTAAGGAACACCTGAAAAATTAAAATAGAATACAAAGAACCATGGTACACAGATGTGAAGCAGTTGTGTGCTATGCTTTGAAGAACAGAACACATTCTAAATTGCTCGAGATTTTGGAAATCACTGTCTTTTGCTTCTTTGCCCTAGCTGTCATTATGACAGTACAGATTTTTATGCTTGAAGAAAACATTTCTTTGAGAAGAAATGCAGAAGGTGACAACCATACTGTTTATTTACAACAGGTAACTAGGTTTTGTTGGATGAGACAGTAAGAGTGTAGGATGTTGAGCTCTTTTAGCAAAGTTTCTAGCATCGTGTATTCTGGGCTGAGCTAATTTGTATGCTTTTTATTTTTCAAAGGCAACTATATTTCCCAAATTAAAAAATCTTAATAAATCTAATTTTAAAGTAGAGGACAGAATTATAGTTCCATTAGTTCATTCATCTAATGTTTATTGAGACCTGTTACAGGTACATATCTGTTGGGGATACAGAGATGAACAAGGCAGGGTCGCTGTCCTTTGGGGCTGGTAGTGTTGTCAGTGAAGAGAATACGGCAGAGAGAGGGCCCCAGGCAGATTTAATTAACAATGTTCTCACTGGACCCAAAGGCTGCTATGGAGAAAGGAGGGCTGACTTTTGATTATTCTAAAATCAACATCAATTGGAGCAAGGGAGGAGCCTGAAGGCTTGGCATGTTCTCATCTAACATTTCTCAGTTTCGTTCTCCCCTCCTCCAAGATATTAAAAAGCTTGTGTTTGTTTTGTTTTGTTTTCCTTTTAATGGTTAAATTTCCTAATAAAAGTCATCTCAAAGAGTTTATTGAATCCATCAAGAAAGTCACTTAAATTCAAATTTTATGGCTGAGTCATGAGACCTGATAACCCTGACTGTAGAATTCTCCAGCGTTCCATTACTCAAAAGCTTGGCACCATGGGCAAACACATTTGTGTTACAGGTTTGATTTAATTCAGTTTTAATTTCTACAGGACTCTAGATGTTAATACATTTAGTCCATTCTGCTGTTGACAATTCATTTAAAATTCAATCTGTTTAAAAAGGTCATCATTTCTTTTTGCATGACATTAGAAATGTTCCTATATTAATACTTTCTATCCATGTTAATGAGTTGGAAAAGGTGAAGTGGAAAAATACAAATAGCTTTAAAATGCTACATAAATATCATGAGGAACTATAACTGCAAAAGGCCTTTTTACAAGTTAAAACTCCATTTGAAGTTAGGCATGTACTTCAGACCATAAATCATGAGATTTTAGCTTGATAAAATTCATCTTTTTGAAATTTATCATCTAAGAGAAAATGGTGTGAATAAAATACTCATTTTTAATGCCCAAAATATCCCCCTACTAAACACTAAAGTAAATATGAATTACTGAATACACAGGACACTCAGTTTAAAGTAGTTTTTTTTTTTTTTAAAATCTCTTAAATTGTTACAGGCCTAATTTCTCATCCGAACATTATTAAAATTATCTCCCACATCTCCTACACCCAAGACACAAGTATTATACATTTCTTTGCAAATGTGGAAGTTTGTTTTGGTTTACTTCTGTGGTGTGGCTGGTAGTAGGTATTCTTGAGTGGTCAATCTATGAGTATCTCTTGGCTTTAGCTTGGCTCTTTTCATGATACATTTCATACCCCCTTAAGATACATTCAGTGCACAATGGAAACTTGTTTATTTCCTGATCCCTGTCTCGTAATGCTATGAGAATACCTGAGAAGACCAATACATCCTTTCTCCAAACAGCAACTGTCTTTCTTCCATATTCAAGATTGGTTATGTTTTTTACTTTATTCTCTAAGGGATTAAATAAGCTTAGATCTCACAGTTTCTAAAAGCTAATATATAAACACATCAATGTCCAATACATATAGCGAGTCTAGTAATAGTGGTGAATATTTTACTCCAGAAAAATTTCAAGTTTATGATAGAAGCAGTTCTGAGAATTAGGAAAAAAAGGAAAACACGAATCTTATTTGGATCATTATGATTCTCTACAGCTTTTTAACTATATTTAGTAGTGATAAACTAGAGAATATATATGTCTGTTTTCAATACCATCTGAAATAAAGTACAGTCATTATGGTTTATCCTTTTCTGATAAATCTTCAAGATAAATTTTTCTTGCATTTCTTTCTTAAAATTTCAACGTAAACTTTTCTTTAGAGTCAGGGTCTTAAGTTGCATAAGCTGGAGCGCAGTGGTGCCATCATAGCTCACTGCAGCCTGGAACTCCTGGGCTCAAGCCATTTTCCCACCTCGGCCTTCCAAAGTGTTGGGATTACAGGTGTGAGCTACCTTGCCCAGCCTTTTGTATTTCTTAAAATAAATCTTTATGAAGAGCAAATGCCTTTAATGTTGATGAAAAAGAAAATCTTTATAAATTTACTTCCTCTATTGTAAGCTACAGATCCTATAACATAAAAAAACCACACTTTCAAACATTGTAAAATGTTATTATTCTCAGTGAATCCAGCATAATTATTTATTTTCCTGAAAATTACATGAAAACATTACTTTTGTTTTTCCAAGAGCCCAGTTATCAAGACCAGCTTTTTCCAAAATGGTGGCACAGGTGTCAGGGCTCATGGGGGGCTGCTCGCTCGACTTGTAGCAGAGAACGTGGTACCTTGGGATGGAAAAAAGGGCTGGTTAGTATTGCATAAAGTGCCAACATCTCTGTAGCCTGGTGGTTCCCCAACAACTTAGTGCAGGGGCTGAGGAACAGATGCCCCGACTTGATGCAGAGAAATCCTTTAGGCATCCTCAGAACGACTTTGGAGTAGACCAAATTCCAAATTGATGCAAACCCAGTCCAGTCTGTAGAAATCTGAGCATTGTGTTTTCACCTTTGTGATCCCCTTTCAAAACTTAACACTGTACTCCCCCGACAAGAACTCCACCACTCAAAAAAATTTAGCGGTTTTGTTTTTGTTTTTTTGTTACATTTCTCTGGACACTAAAAAGTGCAGGGCTGCAGTGGCAGGAAGCAGAAGGAATTATTTTTCACATTCCAGTGTTAATAAAACTCTGGAAGCTGATCTTCAAATTGGGTGATGGAGCTTAGTTCCAGTGAAACTTCCCATCACTGTATACATGCCTTCCATCATTGTTTTTCCTTGAGGGACACTATGTCTCCTGCTAGAGTTTTTCTCTATTGGTTTAATCTATCCATAATCAAGGGGAGGAAAGAGGAAGGGCTAGGGCAGAAAAGAACTGATAGCAGGTCCTCAGGTTAAACCACGACGCTTATTAGGGAAGGGGATGAATTAAGGAAAGAAAATCCGCTTTACACTAGTCAATAATCTTGTGCAAAAAGACAGATTTTCAGAATTTTTAATACTCTCCTATTTTTAATTTATTGGTGCAAGATTAGCCTGAAAGTCCAGTGCAACAAAGCAGCAAATTTTGGTAGGTTTTGAATTTCAAAAGAGAGGCCTTGATATGTAGACGGCTGAGGCGGCGCGGTGACACGAAGAGCAGAGTTTCACCCTTGACTCATTATCTGTATAAACTTGGACACATCACAATTAAGTATCAATTTCCTCATCTAAAAATGAGTCCAGAGATAAAAATCTCTGAAAAGAACATATTTCAACTTCACTAAGTTTCACCTCATTAAATCTGCAATGAAGCAGCTTCTGTTAGGCTCCATGGAGAAGAATCCTGGCCTAGAATGGTATAGAATGAAGCGACCATAACTTTTGCTGTTTGCGCAAAAAACCCCAGGGAGTGCCTATTAGCCACTAAACCTGCTCACTTCAGGACTAACTCGCACATGTACGCATGGTGACCCAGTAGCAGCGACTCTGCATTCACAGCCTGTCCACCAAGTCCTGGTTTTACTTCCTTCCAGAACCAGCCAGGATCTCACAGTTCATCACAGGAGCCACCCTTAGGCAGCCCTGGCACCTTTCCCACTCTCATTCGTTTGTCATGCACTCTCTGCAAACATGCATGCCTGGACCTGCCAATCATCTACGTGTCTGTCCTCACGCCAGGCTTCAGAGCACAGCCAGAGAAAATCTGCACAGTCGGCTCCCTGTGGATGTGTGGATTCCTGACTCAGCCAGGCTCCCAAGAAAGCTCTGGATCCTGACCAGTGTCCAGGGCCACTTTCCTCTCTTCTTCCTCACAAAAGTGACTTAATTCAGTCCTGCTTTCTCCAAGTCTCCCAGCTGCCCCTGCCCTCCGTACCTCTCTCAGCAGATGAGCTTCTCTACTATATCACTGGAAGCCACCAGACACACAATTCATAGGCTTCTTCTCCAAATACAAATTCATTTGTCCACTATCATTTTTCCCTCCTCCTTCAAAGGAGATTTTCATCCTCTGCCTGTGTTCTAGAGTCCATCTCCTCCTCCTCTTCTGTATATTTTCAATCTCATTTCCCTCTTCTGGCTCCCTCCATTTACAAAATGGATGTTTATTTGTTATTATAAAGCAAACACCTTAAGCCTCACTCATCTGTAATGATTCTGTTTCTCCCACTAGCTTTGCTGATAAGTTGAAAGATTATTTAAAATAATTGTCTTCACTTCCCATCACTCTCCAGCTCTGAGAATCTCATTTAATCACATAGCAACAAGGACTCTTATTTACTCGTATAGGATCCAGGAGTGGTGAAATCTAACAGGTCCTTTTACATCCTAATTGTAAGCGATTTTCTGCAGCACTTGCTGTTATTGGCTGTTCTCTCTGTCTTGCTCTCTCCAAGGCTTACACCTAATGTGCCCTGCTTCTCCTCTTCCCTCTCAGTCTCTCTGCGTGCCCCATATTTAATGATTTAATGACTTGTTCCTTAAACGCTAGTGTTCTACAGTGTTCCATTTTTTTTTCTGAGCTCTGTCCACAGGCATCTCATCTATATGCTTGGCTCCAATTATTCCTGTATGTGGTGATTCCTAAATCTACACCATCAACCCTAACTGTTGATATCAACTCTAAACACATTACTTATGACTTCCTACTCTACATGCCCACCTGGTTATTGCACAGACACTTTAAACTCAGCAATATTCATCAGTTTTTCCTTCCTCTGCCATTTCCTGTCTCTGTGAATGATATCACCACTTTTTAAAAGGTACTTGAGCTAGAAATCTGTGTGCCAGCCTACTCTTCCCTATTCTTCACTCTATGGATCTAACAAGCTTAAAGTCTCTCTGGAATCCATTTGTTTCTCACTATGCCTACTGCCATTACCTTAATTAAATACCTCGTCCCTTCTCACCTAGACTTTTGCAATTGCCTCCCAACCAGTTACCTCCACTGTCCCTCCCCTGCCCTGCCCCAGCCACTGTCCACAGCTCTGTATGAATTGTCTTTTTTTAAATGAAAATCTGATCATGTCCTTTCCTGACTTGAAAAGTCTCTATGGATGTCCCAAGTTCTAAGCTGGGATGGCAAAATCAGGTGCTTTCAAAGTCTAGGCAGATACCATAAATATACGAGCCTGGGAGCAGTGGGAATGTAGGAGAGGGAAAGGTTACACCTGCCAAAAAGCATTGGCTTTAAGTTGTTTGCCACATATGATGACTAGCATGCAAGCTCCCTTCTGCCCTATATCCCTGTCTGCCTTTCCAGTCTCCTCTTTGCTATTTTCCATGGCATTCCGAGCTCTAGTCATGAAAGTTACTTAAAATTGTGCCGGAGGGCCATGTTTGCTCATGCTTCTATGCCTTTGTACGTGTTACTCATTATGCTTGCGCGTCCTTTCATCTCACTCCTAGTTTCCTTAAGGAAGACCTACTTTTTCAATATTCTAAAAACTCTCTTTGATGTGTCTTCAATTAACAGATTAACTGGAGTAACTGAAATTGTCTTTTCTTGTGTGAAACACACCAACTGAGATCCGCTGCACACTTAAGGCTCAAGACTGGCAGTTCTCGCTAGTGTGCCCGTGTGTGTTTGCTCTCACTGGATGAGCTGTGTTTGCTCCCAAACCTGTTTATGCCAGTTGTATTCGGTGTGATGTTATTCAAATAAATATCAGATTGAAATCTAAGTGAGGAAAGCCAGGGATTGTTTCTACAAAACTGAATCAAATGCTTTGGTAAGACTTTATAAAGAAGTCTTGTAAAAAAACCATGAAATTAAACATGGATGAAGCAATTACAAAGCATTGAGGAAAATCATAAGAATCAAGAAATATTCAGTCCTGTGACTGTTTCACAAATATCTTTAATAACTTGCTTCACTCCAAGAAATGTTAACTGGAAATCATAAATGAGAGATTACAGATAGTTTATGCAAGAAAGAGGCAATAAACTATGATTAATAGATGTGCACTCAAAGAAAGAAATTAAGCCTTTATCAAAAGGTTAAAAAGCAAACTTACATTGATGTTGTAAGTAAAAATATTTTTGGTGTGTTTTATGTATTACTTTTATTATTCTCTGCTTTATCAGAATTTCTAACACAATCTAAACCATACTTCCTTTATGCTCTCAGAGTATCTTGTTTATACTTTCATTAAAAATACCCAGTCCTCTTTCATTAATTTGAAAAATATTTGAGCACCTACTATTTATTTGCCAGGAACCCTTCTAGGTGCTTCAGAAGCACAGGATACCCCCACCCTTGCTGCCTGCAGCTGACTTTACATTGTATGATAACGCAGATTTTTAAAGTCCTGTTTACATAATGGGTCTGTGAGTTTCTTAATGTCAGGGGCTCATCCATTAATCTTTGGACTTTTAATCTTTCAATTAAGATTTTTAGTTCAAGGACTGGAACACAGTGGGTCCCTCAACTAAATGTTTGCTGAATGTATGATGTACTGTTGCTGGGACTTGTGGAAATAAATACTTAGGTAAGCCACATGTGCTTATGGAGGGCATCCCCTAGGCCACTATTGGTCACAGGTAATTTGGGGAGCTTGAGACTGAAACAAAAATAATAACAAAAATAATTACAGCTAATATGTATTGACGACACCTGGTTCTATCAACAAAATCCATATATATTATTTCTCCTAATACTTATAAACACATATATAAAGTAGATATTGTTATTATCATCCCTATTTGCAGCTAAGGGACATTGAAGCTTGAAGCTTATAGAACTCATGTAACTTTGAATAAGGTCACAGACTGAGTAAGTGGCAGAGTTGGGATTCAAACCCGGTTTTGCTGACTTCAAAGCATGGTACTTATCTACTACACCATACTACTGCCTTCAGTAAGTTCTGGTTGTATTAGAGCTCTGGTAGCCAAACCATTATGTACAGGTGCTTAGTGGGAAAATGGAGCCAAGTTAAGTGGCTGGCTTGTTAGTGTAAGGGTTCCTTTGAAATAGCTGCAGTAAAAACTCAGTGTCTTGTGCAAAATTCATGTTGTATATTTTTCCTTAAGACTGTTTCTTTCTTATAGAACAGAAGAATTTATCTACAACAGAACAAAGGGTCTGGGGAATTTTGCATCCTATGCAGAGGGTTAGCAGGTCTATTTACACCCTCACAGAACCTCTGAAAATTGTTCTGCCTTCCTGAGAGTCTATGCCAATTTGGATGACAACTTCCAAATTAGTGACGCAGAAAAGGTTTAGCCTTTTATTTCTGGAACTTCCTATATTCAGAATAGCTATTCACATGTTCTCTATACACTTAGTTTTATCCCCTTCTCTTTATTTATTGTGTAGTAATTTGCTATTCTGTAACAGCACAATAATTATAAATATATTTAAGAATTTATTCTCATTTCTGACATTTGAACTACAATATCATTAAGAAAATAGGTTTTATTCTGATTATGTTCTATATTGTAAAACTATGGTTATTTTTCAAGCTATAAGATTAGGCTGGTATTCAAGACTTTCTCTTCATAATTTTAACCCAACTGTTTTTTCATATTATCTTCTGTCACTTCACCAATGCAATCCCCACTCTACCAACCCAATCCAACCCAAGTCCTGCTAGCTTTTGGCACACCAACCTGTACACCAAGAAAACTCCTGTTTTCTCCACAAGCCGTACCCACCTTCAAGTACTAGTCTGAGTCCTTCTTATTTTTTATTTTTCATTTTTTTTTGAAATAGGGTCTTGCTCTGTCACCCAGGCTGGAGTGCAGTGGTATGATCAAGCCTCCTATAACCTTGAACTCCTGGGCTCAAGTGATCCTCCTGCCTCAGACTCCTGAGTAGCTAAGACTACAGGCATGAGCCACCACACCCAGGTGACTAAAAAAGGTTTTTTTTTTTTTTTTTTTCTTAGAGATGGGGTCTTGCTACATTGCCCAGGCTGGTCTCAAACTCCTGGCCTCAAATGATCCTTCTGCATTAGCTGAACACCTCTTCTTGATATCCTCTCTCATCAGCCTTCCTGGAGATGCTCTTCCTTCCCTTGAACTTTTACACTGTGTATATCATTCTCTTGGACTTGGCAGTTACTACTTCACATTGCTTGTTAACTTTCCATGTCTATGGCTGTGGTAATTCTAACTGGCCTGTCCATTCTTGAAGATCAAGTCAGTTCTAAAATTCAGTATCTCCCACAGTGCTTAGCATGGTGTCTTATACATTAAAAAAATCACTGAAATTTAAGAGCACTTATATTAATATTACACTCATGATATCTACATTACTATTTAAACAAGTTAAAGATCTTTTTTTCTAAAACATGAAGTGCATGATAATAAGGTCAAATTTTAATTTTAATTTAAAATTTGAAACTCCTTTGTATCTAGTATTTTCAGTTTATCTGCTTTGATGAGCAGGATGGAGAATTTACCTATTAGCCAATAAAGAATTCCATTTTTTTATTTCTTAGTTCTGGTTATAAAATTGGGTCTGATCTGTAGGAAGTAAAGTCAATGATTAGCTGCTAACTAGATTTCTGGACTCTAAACTTGAGGTTTTAGTTTGTCTTAAGCTACTATGAGGATTGGCCAATACGAAAGTCACTATGTTTATGTAATGTTGATCTCCATCATGAGAAAGGTAGTAGAGTTTTCTTGATTTCAAAGCATTCCAGATAAATAATCCCAGGTCTCTAAAGAAAAACAAAATCAAGAACTACCACAAATTTGCTGAATGTATAAAAGTTAGCAGAAATAATCAGAATTCTTATCACATTTAGAAAGAGTCTTGGTTATTCCAAATAAAAGAATGGCTGATAAAATGCATACAAGTTTTGGGAGGAGGGGAGGAAACTTAGAAATCAAGTTTGGTGTACAATCACAAAACAAAGTTGTGTTTTTTTCTTAATAGTAATTTATATGCTTTGAAAAAGGATGAAGAATGTTATAAATGGGACTTCCTCTGGGTTTCACCTGAAAATTTTAATAGACTTCATCTTTAAAAATTGAAATTTCATTATGTTTAATGACCAATAGAAATTATAGAACCAAAAAAATAAAAAATATGGGCTTTAAAATATTAAATATATATGATATTGAAACTTTATATTACTACCTATGTATTACTCAATAAAATATATTTATTATATAGCTCAATTTATTTTATGTTAATCTCAAATATTAAAAGGAACTCCTTGGCTGGGCACGGTGGTTCACACCTGTAATCCTAGCACTTTGGGAGGCTAAGACGGGCGGATCACGAGGTCAGGAGTTCGAGACCATCCTGGCTAACACGGTGAAACCCCATCTCTACTAAATACAAAAAAACTTAGCTGGGTGTGGTGGCGGGTGCCTGTAGTCCCAGCAACTCAGGAGGCTGAGGCAGGAGAATGGTGTGAACCCGGGAAGCAGAGCTTGCAATGAGCTGAGATTGCACCACTGCACTCCAGCCTGGGCCACAGAGCTAGACTCCGTCTCAAAAAAAAAAAAATTCCTTATACCAATTGATTCTTTTTAAAAAAGTTCATGTTGGCTTTTTAAATTGACAAATAAGCCTAAGTGTTTCATCTTCCAAATCACCGTTAGAGACAGTATCTCATTTGATCATTATAAGGATCCTATCAGGTAGTTATAGCAGATTTGGTAGGTGAGTAAAGTGAGGTTAGGGTTATAGGGTTTCTCAGCCTCAGCACTGTTGAGATTTGGGGCTGGATAATTCTTTGTTGTGGGGAGGCTATCCTGTAAATTGTAGAATGCCTGTTAACAGCATTCCCAGGCCTCTACCCACTAGAGGTCAGTAGCATCCCCCCACGCCCCTCCACCACACAGGATGTGACAACCATAAATGTCTCCAGACATTGTCAAGTGTCTTTTGAGGGGCAAAATCTCTCCCAGCTGAGAATCAGTGGTATGGGCCCACAGTCACATAGCAAGTGGCTGAGCTAGGGTGAAAATCCAGATTCTCCAACTCCTCAGTACAGAAAGAAGGTCAGGCCTCTGGATCATGCTGCCTATACCACATAGTACCACCCATCTGTCCAGAGTCTTTCAGCCTCAGTTAATAGCTATCTTCTTTTTTCAACACATAATCATTTGCATGAACAAAATGCCTCCCTCCTAGACCTCTAAATATTTTTTCATATTATGTTTCTTATAATTCTTCTAAATAATTTTTATATAAACTGCACAATAGAAACTGAAAAATAAATCCACATACCGCTTTATAAAATTAGCAAAAAGTATCCGATGGGAGAATCCTAGCCTTCGAATTCTTGCTGTTTCCAGAATTCCTGTGTACCGAAGCTGCAGCAGAACTTTCTCTTTGTCATATTTTCTTGCCTGACGCTCATTATTTGGTTTGATGCAACGGACAAAATGAGGTTGGCCCACCACCATTTTAGACAACAAATCCATCAGGGAATACTATGATACACAACAAAAATAAATTTCCCAATGTAGCATACAAAAACGTATGAGCTTGTAGGCCTTTCTTTTTATTACAAGAATAACATTCAGAAAAATGAATGTTATAAATGCTCCCACTAGTCACAGCAAATGGAGGAAAATCTGTTTTAATGAACATTTTATTTATAGTATAGTTCTAAAAATACAGATTTACTTACAAAAATGTAGAGGCAATAACTAGAAATTTAGCTATTAAAAGTTTGCTTATAAACCATTAAGGCAACTATAATTAACAGATAAAATTATTTTTGATGTAGTTTGTAAGCAATTATATACTCTTAAGCTAACTTGCCAAATTATAATATTACACAGTCTGGTTAATCCTGCGTATATATTAATTTCCTTGTCCAACTCTCTCTTTATGGAAGGTAAAAAAGGGAATACTTTACAACACACATTGGAGCTTATTGGACGATAAAGGGTGGGAGGAGGGAGAGGATCAGGAAAAACAACTAATGGGTACTGGGCTTAATACCTGCGTGATGAAATAATCTGTTTAACAAACCTCCATGACACAACTTCACCTATGTAACCAAACTGCACATACCCCTGAACTTAAAATACAATAAAAAAAAAAAGGGAACACCTTAATCCCTGTTAGGATCATCTCTTAGTTTAAAATAAGGACAGAAAAGTTAATAGCCTTTAATATGTAGGAAGTAGATATAAGCAAAGTTATATCCAATTAAATATTTTCATCAGTTCTAATTTGATCATTTTCTTATTTATTTTTGGAGAATTTTAAAAATTCACATAGATATGAAACTATGTTCTATACCAATACCTTATTAAAACAGTAGCCAATTACTAGACAAGTAAGTATAACATATTAGGATAATCAACTAAAAGTGGAATCCCAGAAAACGAGAATCTCAAAGACCAGGATCACATTTATTGGCGAGGTAAGTATGGACATAAATAGCAATTGATGGCTGGATCTCAATTAGTGCTGGAAATGTAAGAGCCTACAGTCACAAAGCCAGTGCAAAACAAATGCTGAAACTGGCAACCAACAAAGCTCTGAAGTTGCATGGCTTCCTTTTGGGCACTGAGGCTCAGATGTGACCTTTTCAAACAGCTGGGCCTGTCACTTTGGAGCCCTTTTCATTACATTTATCTGTAAGTCATCATTCCTTTACTCATGCAAACATCTGCCAGGTACTGGTGGTACAGGGGTGATACTCTGAGCAGGAGCTTCCTGCAACGTAGGTGCTGGTTTTTCTGAGGGAAAAAGCATAGTGTTACACTGTGTCCAGTCTTCTCTGCAGAATGAAAAATAGCTTTAAAAACACACTTCATGTTGTGTAGAATTATCTTCTATCATTTCTCACTTCAGCCTGAAGATTAAAAAGATTTCATGAACTAACCTGGTTTAAACATACATACAGCATTTGATGCCAACAACAGTGGTATGATAATGGCCTTGGGTAACTCACTTAAAATAGGAAACCTGGCTGTAAATACATTCAGTGATTCACCTGAGCTGCATTTCTGATGTAAAATGAAATGTATCTGCAGCAAACATCAGGTATTAAGCACATAAATGTACTAGGCACTACTCAAAGATGATTAAGTATACACTATCTTCTATGAGCTTAGGACTTAAAAAATATTTAGTAAAGATATTCATATATTTTTTAAAGAATTTTACGTTTCTGCTAGAGAGCTGGATATATTCACTGAACACTTAAATTTAATCTAATTTCCTCCACCTCCTCCACATTAAATTATATAAGTAATAACTCCAAGTTTTAGTGGTATTTTCTTCATTTTCATTGGATGATTAATAGGTTTTTATCAGAATAGGTAAACAAGAACTGGAACCAATAATAAGGGAAGGGTTATGTAGAGCACAGAGGAAAAAAAAGTACTTGCTTTTTTCTTTTCTCTTATATTGCCCAAGGAAGGAAGGTCGCCTTGATCCTATGCTAAGCACACTCCCTTAAGCATGTTACCACATCTTCCTGATGACTCTTCTCCTCGCCCCATTCCTACACGGGCTCTATTTTCCTTTTGAGGTTTTTAGCTCTATACAAGAAGGGTGATATGAAATGGAGATGGATGCTCAGCCTTGCCCTATCTGTCTATTCTAAAATCATTCAGGAGGGGGAAGGAGAATTGGTAGTTACCATAGCATTGAGGTAAAAATCTGTTTAGGTTTTATTCTAGTGGAAATGCATTCTGTTCTATGGACAAATTTTAATCAAGGTATAGACTTTCATTAAGATTGACCTGGGATACGGCCAGGCACAGTGGCTTACGTCTGTAATCCCAGCACTTTGGGAGGCCAAGGCAGGCAGATCATGAGGTTAGGAGATCGAGACCATCCTGGCTAACACGGTGAAACCTTGTCTCTACTAAAAATACAAAAAATTAGCCGGGTGTGGTGGCAGGCGCCTGTAGTTCTAGCTACTTGGGAGGCTGAGGCAGGAGAATGGCGTGAACCCAGGAGGCGGAGCTTGCAGTGAGCCGAGATTGCACCATTGCACACCAGCCTGGGCAAAAGAGTGAGATCCCGTCTCAAAAAAAAAAAAAAAAATAAAGATTGACCTGGGATACAATAATTTCCCGGGTGGAATGTAGAAACAAACCAATCCACAGATTTTGAAGGTAGATGCTAACATATCCTGTATCTAACAACAGTAAATGGAATACAATATTCTCTTCTGCTAGTGTTACTGGCTTTTGATCTATAACCCATTTAGACTAAATAGCACCCCTAAGCACAATACATCACAGTTTAATATCTTACTCTAAAATATGATGCAACTGTTTGTGTTTTCATGTTGGTTGTCTCTCTGGCATAACGCGTGGCTTCTCCAGTGTCGCCCTAAAGAGACCGAGGAAAACAGTGATGCTTTGGTATCTATTGTACTTTATTATCTACAGAGACCATGGGCTATCTTAATTTATGCATTCAAATATGTAAAACAGCAAAATGTTGATATTCTTCCCTTACGTAATTGTTTGTCAGTCTCATTGGAATTTTAATTGGTCTTATGTAGACTGTGAATATCTCTCACCTTCACTAGTACATTTTTAGTTGGTCTTAGTGTAACACTTAAAACTAGCTAAAAAAGGGTTGGGCACGGTAACTCACGCCTGTAATCCCAGCACTTTGGGAGTCCAAGGCAGGCGGATCATTTGAGGTCAGGAGTTCGAGACCAGCCTGGCCAACATGGTGAAATCCCGTCTCTATTAAAAATACAAAAATTAGCCGGGTGTGGTGGGTGCCTGTAATCCCAGCTACTCGGGAGGCTGAGGCAGGAGAATCACTTGAGCCCAGGAGGCAGAGGTTGCAGTAAGCTGAGATCATGCCACTGCACTCCAGTCTGGGTAACAGAGTGAAACCCCAGTCTCAAAAACAAACAAACAAACAAACACAAAAACTCCCCCCAAAAACTAGCTAAAAAAGAGTTGGAAATATTAATATATCAGAAATGCATGATTATTTTAGCCCCTAGCAGTAACAAGAACAAAACATACACATCTGTTCAAACAGAAAAGCAAGATCAAAGGGAGAAAAGCTAAGAAAAAACTGTTGACTTTGAGAAGCATACAAATATCGCCATCGTACCAGTTAGATTCTTAGACTCACTGCCAAGGAAAAAAGCATTTTCTTACCTTTGCCAGGTTGATTAATTTTTCTGAAGTCCTCATTTGATAGTTTATAACGTTTTGAGTTTTAGAATGTGGCAGATTACCTATGAGAATGTAGAAAAATGTAATATACCTTTTAGAATCCTTAATGTCTAGATGAGTTTTCCCATTTACTTAAATGTTAAAATAAGCATTCTTAATCCTGCAATATTCATAATCACATGCTTGGTTAACTATTTTTGGAGGAACTCAGGAATAAAAAAATTATGTAAAAATGTACAACAAATTTTAAATTCAGAAAAAAACCCTTGAGCTTGGAAAACAGAAAAGGCAGAGGTAAGTGTTGGGTTTCCGTTGAATTGCTAGAAGACTTGAGATGACTATGATTGAGGGAGCAGTTTGCTTCTTATTTTTTTGTGTGATAAATGGCATCTGAGATTTTCTTTAACATAGGCTAAGCTTTACAACAGGCTTGAAAGATCATATGAATCAGTAATTTGCATGAGGTGGTTATAAGCAAATCAACTATGGTTGGAGGCAATGGCCTTTTTCAGTCTAACTTTCAGAAATATGTGCTTCATTCTAAGGACTATACGAATGCACACAATCCAAAGCAGTGAAAAAATTATGGCCCGAGAAGCCAGAAAGACTTGACTTTGAATCTCAGGTACAGTGCTTAAACTGTGTTGCCTTTGGGTCATTTACTTAGTCTCTGATCTGCACCCAGAATCCATAAAATGGGAATAATGGTGATTACTTCACAGAGTTTTGATGAAATGCGATAATATGTCTGGCACATGGAAGGCTCCTGAAATGCAATTCACTTTCACAGCTTTCTCACCCCCACCAGGCACAAGGAACCAACCAACCCACAATCCAAGAGTTTATTATCCTAATAGTAATGGGCAAAATATCTTCAAAATGCAGTACCAATTCAGAATGATCATTTCTTGTCTCTCTCCTTCTTTTAGGTGATAAATAGAGGCTGAATGTTTTTGGCAAATTTTTCCCATTCTTTTTTTTTTTTTTTTTTTTTGAGAGGGAGTCTCGCTCTGTCGCCCAGGCTGGGATGCAGTGGCCGGATCTCAGCTCACTGCAAGCTCTGAAAGGCTGGCCTAAGATGGTGCAGGAAGGAATCATGTTGGGGATGTGCCTGGCAGTGCATCTGCTCTGCCACCTCCTCTCCCTCCGAACTCTAGGGGAGGGGCTGAGACGGGTGTGTGCAACAGTTTCCATGCTAGGCTTGCCCTGTTCACTTTTCAAATGTGAAACTTACTGACTACAGCAGGGTGGACAGAGACAGCAACAGATGATCTTTAGAATGGCAGTTTCAGGAATTTTGCTTAAATTTATTTATCTAGATCAATGGCAACTAAAATTAGCATAGACTTTAATTTCAGAAAATGTGTCCATTTTGGTTTTTATGGTTCACCTAACGAACAAGTTTGTGATAAACCCAACTAAAAACGCGAGCTGCAAGGAACTGTGGTGCACTTTCCCCTAAAAATGGCTGAACTATAGGTCATATGTGAAGTCATATATACTAAAGGCCATGGTTATTTTAGAATCTTGAAGACAGCATAATATAGAACTGAATAACTCTAATTCTAACATTTTCCATTGGGAAACCTTGGGAAAGCTGCTCAACACTTTCAAGCCTTAATGTCTTATTTGTAAAAAGTAGTACCTCCTTATTATGTTGTCATTAGGAGTAATCGAAGGTGCTTAGCACGGTGCCTAGCACATAACAGATAACAAAGTTGTCTATGATTATTATTACATGTTTGCACATCTGGGTGAATATAAAATCCATATGTCTTTGCTATCTCTGAGGTTCTGAGTTTATTGAAACATACTTGACTATTAAGTTTTCTCTTCTCCCTGGCCACCCGGACACTGTTCTGCTGATAGCCAAGCAACACAACATAGTATTTAGAACCTGGCTACATATTTTATAGGGTGAAAAACATGGAGTTAGATGCATAGATGCTGTTGGTGTATATGGAAAGGGATGGCAATTGTTAAAGTCAAAAGTAATGACTTTTGCTTCTGGGTCAGATAAAGTAACAGGCTAAATTAACCTTCCCCAAACAACTAAAAAGACATACAAAATGGAAAACAGGTTTCAAACATTGTGCATCAAGCAGTGTAAGGACGCTGATCCCTAAGAGAGGGAAGACAAATGGGGTGAGCCCTTTGATTGTGCCAGCTTTCTGCCCGGAGAGGTGTCAGCCTGAAATGCAGGGAGTGAGGGAACTCAGGTAAAGCCTGGGAAAAGAGCCGATATAACCAATAGAAAACAAGTGGCAAGATGATAAGAGTCAAATCCAACCATATCATTAATCACATTAAATGTAAATCGTCTAATCATCTCAATTGAAAGGCAGAGATTGTCAGACTGGATTAAAAAAAACAAGACCCAACTATGTGCTGTTTAGAAAAACCCTACTTTGAATATAAAGAAAAAAATAAGTTGAAATTAAGAGTACGGAAAAAGATACGCCATTCACTCACTAATCATAAGAAAGCTGGAGCCTCTACATTAATATCAGGCAAAGTAGATTTCAGAACAAACAATGCTGCCAAGGATGAAAAGGGTCATTACATAATAACAAAGGAGTCTATCCATCAAGAAGACATAACAATTTTAAATGTTTATGTACCTAATAATATAGCTTAAGAATACATGAGCAAAAACTGAAAAAAAAGAGAGGCAAATCGACAGCTATAGTCAAATATTTAAAAATCCCTCTCTCAGTAATTGATAGCACCAGGAGAGAGAAAAACAGTAAGAATACAGAAGACGTAACCAATACTCTCAATAAAGCAGACCTAGTTGACATTTACAGAACATTTCATCCAACAACCAGCAGAATAAACAGTATTTTCAAGTGCAAATGAAAATAAAATAAGACATAATATTATGGGTCTTAAAACATATCTCTGAAAACTTACAGCAAATGCAAGGATGTATTATGGTTGGGTGGAGTTAAATGGATTAAATAATACAAAGTATGCTCTCTGAACACTATGAAGTTAAATTAGAAGCCCATAAATAATATTTGGAAAATCTCACCATATTTGGAAACCTTATAAACTCTTATAAATAACCCATATAAGTGCTGATGCTAGAAGAATGTCTTCTTAAATCAATGATCTAAGTTTTACCTTAGAAATTAAAAAAAGGAAACAAAATAAGACACAAAGTGAGCAGAAAAAGAAAACAACAAAGATAAATGAGAAAGAAAAAGAGAATGAAATAGAAACAAAACCAATAAAAAAAAATCAATGAAACCATTTGAGAAGATTAATAAAATTAATACATGTCTAGGAAATATATCAAGAATAAAATGAGAGAAGACACAAATTACCAGTGTCGCTTATGAGAGAGCTGACATAACTTCAGGATCTACAGATATTAAAAGGATAGTAAGAAAATGTTATAATCAACTGTGTCAATAAATTTGACTATGTAGATGAAATAAATTTCTTAAAAGACACAATCTACTAAAACTCACTCAAAAATTAGATAACTCAAACAGCTTTATGTTTATTAAACAAATTGAATTTGTAGTTGAAAATCTCACAAAACATCCTTCAGGCCCCGTTGGCTTCACTGGTGAATTCTACAAGGCAACTTAGGAAGAAATAATACTCATTCTACTATTCCTGAAAATCGAAGGAAAGGCAATACTACTCAATTTATTCTATGAGGCCAGCATTACTGTGATTCCAAAATCACAAAATAAAGCATAAGAAAACTATAGTGCAATATTCCTCAAAAACATAGATGCAAACATTCTTAAAACATGTTTGCAAACTGATTTCAGCAATATATAAAAAGTACCATGCATCATGACCATTTGAGGTTTTTCCCAGGAATGATTAAAAAATCAGTCACTCACCATCTAACAGATGCAGCATTGTTCATAATAGCCAAGATATGATCAACCTAGTTGTCCATCAATGGATGATTGGATAAAGAAAATGTGGTGTCTACACACACATACACACACACACACATGCACACACACACACACGAATACTATTCAACATGGTTGAACCTGAAGGACACTATAAGTGAAATTAGTCAGTCACAAAAAGACAAATACTGGATGGAATTTGTGGAATCTAAAAAAGTTGATTTCATAGAGCTAGAGAGTGGAATAGTGGTTACTAGCAGTTGGGGTGGTTGCAGTGGGAGGAGGTGGGTTGGGGAGATGTTGGTCAAAGGATAGAAAGTGTCAGCTAGATAGGATAAATAAGTTCATAGCAATGTATTATATACTTGAAAATTGCTAAGATAGTAGATTTTAAGTGTTCTCACCACAAATAATTATATACAGTAATATATATGTTAATTATCTGGATTTCATTATTCTATAATGTACATATACTTCCAAATGTCATTTGTATACAGTAAACACAATTTTAGCTGTCAATTTAAAAAAAAACAAAATATAAGGGTAATCTATTCAATAGATGTGGAAAAAGCATTTAACAAAATACAGTATGCATGCCTGCTAAAAAAAAAAATCAGGAAATTGGCCAGGTGCAGTGGCTCACACCTGTAATCCAAGCACTTTGGGAGGCCGAGGCAGGTGGATCACCTGAGGTCAGGGGCTCAATACCAGTTTGGCCAACATGGTGAAACCCCATCTCTACTAAAAATACAAAAATTAGCTGGGCATGGTGGTGCATGCCTGTAATCCTAGCTACTTGGGAGGCTGGAGTAGGGGAATCGCTTGAACTTGGGAGGTGGATGTTGCAGTGAGCCGAGATTGTGCCACTGCACTCTAGCCTGGGCAACAGTGTGAGACTCTGTCTCCAAACAAAAAACAAAAAACTAAAAACAAACAACAACAACAACAACAACAACAACAACCAGCAACAACAAAAATCACTCAGGAAATTAGGAATTAAAAAAAAAAGTAAAGTAACTTCTCCCCTGATAAAGGGCATCTATGAAAAAATCCACAGTTAACATTATACTCCGTGGTGAAAGACTAAAAGACTAACTATTCTTTCGCCAAGATCAGGAAAAAGGCAAGAATGTTCACTCTTGCAACCTATCCTGTGTTCAACACTGGAGACTGCATTGGTGATTCTAGCCAGTACAACCAAGAAAAAAGAAGTCAAAAGGAAACATATTGGAAAAGAACAGGCAAAATCCTTTCTTTTCCAATATGACATGATCATCTGTGAAGAAAATCCTTTGGAATTAACAAAAAAAGCTACTCTGATAAATGAGCTTAGGAAGGTTGCAGGGCAAAAACTCAATATACAAAAATCAATTAGATTTCATATACTGGCAAAAACCAGAATTTCAGTTAAAAATTACCATTTATAATCACATAAAAATGTGATACACTAGCAGATAATTTGACAAAGGATGTGCAAAACTTGTACACTGAAAACTACAAAATATTGCTGAAAGAAATTAAGGGAGACTTAAATAAATGGAGAGCTAGACTGTGCCGATTGGAAGATTTAATATTGGGAAGATACCAAATCTCCCATTATTGATCTATAATTTCAGTGCATTCCAATCAAAATCCAACTAGGATTTTTGGTAGAAATTGAGAAGCTCATTCTAAAACGTATATGGAAAAGCAAACAAATTATAATTACCTAAACAAGCCTGAATAAGAACAAAGTCAGGCTAACTTGTACTGCCTGATTTCAGGACTTTATAGAAAGTTACACTAGTCAGAAGTGTGCATTATCCTAAAGATAGATAAATATCAATGACACACAATAAAGAGTCCAGAAATAGACCTATTCATTAGTCAACTGAGTTTTCAAGGAGTGTCAAAGCAATTCAATGGGGAAAGAACAATCTCTTCAACAAATGGTGATAGAACAGGAAGGAGTGGAGGAAAGGATTATAAAGGGTCATGAAGAAACCTCATTTGTGAGTGATGAGTATGTTCACTATTAATCATGGTGATAGTTTTACAGGTGCTTATATATGTCAAAAACTCATCAAATTTTGCTGTTTAAATATGTGCTGTTTCTTGTATTTCAGTTATACTTCAATAAAATTATGATACAAGAAATGCAGAGAACAACTTTAAACTCCAGTAAAGAAAAACAACCCAAACTATATTTTTTCTACTTACAGCAAATGCAAGGATGTATTATGGTTGGGTGGAACAAAGACATGCCCAGTTTTAATCAATAAGAGAGCCCACCAAACTTTTGGAACCTCAAAGAATCATCCAAAAGCTGCCCACTCCTGATTTGCGCAGGTAATTCTGAACTCTGGAGGTCAGTATACTCTTGTAGTGAGTAGCTAGAATAGCACTACTATGGTGAATGCTGCAAACACTTACCTTTAACGAAAAACTAGCTTATTTATATTCATTTTTATATTTTCTTCAGGTGATCTGGTGCAGAGGATATTAACAAATTAATATTTAGTGAGCCAAAAACAAACTCACATGAAAAATTAAGGATGAAATTCGTGAAAAGCACAGAGATAGAAACTATTTGATTGGGCTTGAGAAAACTTACAGGTAAGGAAAATTGCCTTACCTGTTTTGGTCAGAGGGTGGTTGACTAGTTGCCTAATTACACTGTTGTCGGATGACCTCAAAAGTAGCACAATATCAGTTGGAAGAGTGTCTCTGTTTTTGGCTAAGAATCCACTTGCATTATAGAGGACCTGTTGATACAGTATGCTATAATTATCACAATCAATGTCATTGTCATCCTCCACCTCCTCCTCACCATCATCATCATCATTATCAACAGATACTCATTATGAGCTTACTCTATGTTCAGCAACAGGGATACAAGCATTTACTAAGGTAGCCCCTTATAATCTGTGTCTCACTGATTTTATTTGGGTTGAAACGACCAAAGAGGTTGGATTCCTCTCATTTATTATGTTGGGAATTTGGTATGTTTCTTTTCTCTATTTGGAGGGATGGAGCAGCATAAAGGAAGCATATTGAGCCACAAAAGCATTCCTATTTCTATGATACTGGTCCACCGGTATTGAATTGGCCATGATAGATTTTTATCTCAGTAGTAGTGTGATTTAAATACACTGTGGCTTTTTGTGTTTCTGGCACTTCTAAATAATGCTATTACTTAAAAAAAAGGTTTAGAGATGAGGTTTTGCTATGTTACCAAGGGTGGTCTTGAACTCCTGAGCTCCAGTGATCCTCCCACCTTGGCCTCCCAAAGTGCTAGGATTACAGACATGAGCCACCATGCCTGGCTAATTTTATGACTTTTTCAAGATCAATGTAATCCAAAGATTTTTGTGGAATGATCCAATATAGTATTTGTTACGGGTCAAATTGTGTTCTTCCAAAATTCAGATGCTGAAGATGTAAACTTTCACTGTGACTATATTTGGAGACAGGGCCTTTAAGGAGGTAATTAATGATAAATAGGGTATAAGAGTAAGACCCTACACCAATAAGACTTGTGTTCTTATAAGAGCGGGAAGAGGAACCAGGGATATCTCTCCCCACTCCCTACGCTCACATAGCAAAGGCCATGTGGGGACACCTTGAGAAGGTAGCCATCTTCAAGCCAGGAAGAGAGGCCTCCCAGATGCTAACCCTTCTCGGAGCACCTTGATCTGTCAGCCTCCAAAACTGTCAAAAAAAAAAAAAAATGTCTGTTGTTTAAGTCATGCAGCCTGTGATATTTTTGTTATGGCAGCCCGAGCAGACTAATAGATTGTTAAAATCTAATTGTTAAAAACAACTAGATAAAATGATCATAGGCAATTTTTTTTTTATTTGAGACATAGTCTCACTCTGTTGCCCAGACTAGAGTGCAGTGGTGCGATCTTGGCTCACTGCAACCTTCACCTCCTGGGTTCAAGCAATTCTCTGGTCTCAGCCTCCCAAGTAGCTGGGACTACAGGTTCACGCAATTCTTAATGGATGTTTAAAACAGGCTTTATTTGGAAAATGATATGCTAAGAATCATTAGGCTATAAACTAATGATTTAAGGTATACTTTAAAAATGATGAAAGTCTGTGGGATGTTGACAGACATATGGAGGTTGCCAAGCAGACTAGAATGCTTTAAGTTCTGTGTAATTTTATTTTTATGTATTTCTCATTTGATACATTCTTTCTTGATCTGAATGTCCTCTTTGTCCTCCCATATTTATGACATCATTGTGAAGGAATGACCTGTCATTCTCTGCAGAAGGAAGGAAAGAGAGCATCCTCTGGGTCTAGGACAACATATCTGAGGTTCGTTCTGGTGTGGAAATGTGTTTCTGTCAATGTAGAGACATTTCCTCCTCTAACTGCATTGTAATCCATCCATCTGGCTTAGCTCAGTTATCTGACTGTATCTCTAGCCTGGCACCTTCTCTTCCTGAAAGGGAGGAGGGACAAAGAGTACAGTAGAGAGAGAATCATCTAAAGTCTGAAAAGGGCAGTTTATACCAAAGGTCCTCAGGCATTGTTAAAAGAAGGAAACAAATAGGTAACTATTGCTAGCTAATCTCACCCAAGGATTCTTTCAGTTTTGTGTCTTTTCTTTCTTGTTTTTTCTTAGTTACTGAAAAACAATTCCTCTAGAAAAACTATAACGTTATGATTCTTAAACTAAGAGAAAGACTTTTCTTTTAACCTCTTCAGCATAGATGCCAGCAGCGCGCGCCCTGGAGTGGGTGTGGCCTCCATAGTGAGTGGCTGGCAAAGGACAGGATCAATCACAGGACATCAGAGGGCATAATTAGGGCCAGTGGGAGTGGAAACAGACAGCTATGACATTATTATTACCTATAAACATTTTGGGCCATAATTTTTATGTCCATCCTATTATTCATTAAAAGGCTAAAGAGAAACCCAGTCATAATTCTTAAGAGTTCTTACCTTTCCTGCATAATGGTGAATTCCAAAACTAAGTTCCAATCTTTTGGGTCTCCAGAAGTACTGTGATTTCAGGTTACCTTCAAATTTTTCTGTAGAAAAATACTGAACTCATGTATCAAGCATGTATGAGGTTCTCAAAAGATACTGTGAGAATCATTTACCATAAAAAGGACAATGTGCAGCGAACAAAGAAAATTTTACATAGCTAATATATGCAGATTTGGAATAGAATTATATATGGTAAAGTAAACTCAAGATCATTAATTTCTACCATTACATTATGATTTAGGGCATCAGTCCTCATGCCATGTCATGCATCAGAGTCACCTCGAGGGTTTTTATTTTTTGAGAGGCAGTTTCGCTCTTGTTGCCCAGGCTGGAGTGCAATGGTGCGATCTCAGCTCACTGCAACCTCTGCCACCTGGGTTCAAGCAATTCTCCTGCCTCAGCCTCCCGAGTAGCTGGGACTACAGGCGCCCACCACCAGGCCTGGCTAATTTTTTGTATTTTTAAAGTAGAGACAGGCTTTTGCCATGTTGGCCAGGCTGGTCTCAAACTCCTGACCTCAGGTGATCCACCTGCGTCAGCCTCCCAAAGTGCTGGGATTACAAGTGTGGGCCACTGCGCCCGGCCGAGGGTTTGTTATAACACAGGTTGCTGGGCCCCAACCGCAGAGTTTCTGACTCAGTAGGTTTGGGGTGGGATCCAAGAATTCACATTTCTAATAAGTTCTCAGGTGATGCTGATGCTCCTGGGCGGGAGACCACATTTTGAGAACCACTGGTACAGAGCAAGTGAACTACTTGAGACTGACCAAAGAGGTTTGTAAAACACAGTGTGATGTCAAGCCATGAGCCTAAAAATCTAGTGTTTTTGCTCTCTTTTCTACTTATAGAGCTGTAAATTATTATTGATTACATGAGAAATAAAACATGATCTTAAAGGCAGCTAAATTTCTATAACAATTTTACCACCTTCAGAGAACTTGTTCTAGAAGGATCATTTGATCTAAAAATCAAGTGACTGCTGTGAAATGATTTTTCCCACCACTTTGGGGTCAATTTATTTTCCATCTAGTATTGTCCAATTCAAGGAGAGATTTAAGCCAATCAGTGAGTCAGAAAGAAGAGACATCACAGACCTAATGGTAAGAAAGAGGCTCTGCATGTCACCCAAAGTAAATGACAGAAAGATGTGAATCCACATTTTCTGCAAGTATTTCTCATACAGAATAAATACCTCTTATAATCAGGGAATACAATGTTCTGCGTTTAAAACATTTTTTTTCAGATATCTGAAGAATGTAAAGTTTTTTTTTTTTTTTTAATTTGAGGAGTAAGACACTTTCATTTTAACCAGCTTGAATGGTGATCTTTTAAAATGTATTATACACATCTCTGCCTTCTCAGACACAAAAAATAGATTTAATCTTACTGTGATGACTTAGGATTATCATGAACATTTATTAATGTACGGTAACTTAGAGGTTATTAAGTATTTGAAGCGATTTGCCTCTATTAAATAAATGAATAGAACAGAACATCACAGATTAATTTATTTCCTACCTGTTAACTATCTCTTTTCAATTCCAGAGCTATCCTTCTGCCCTGCTCACTAATTTCTAATTTTGGGCTGGAAAATTTCTAAGGTCATTTATAACCTGTGATTCTATGGTTGAACTTCACCATAAAATAAGCAGAAGTCCAATATTTAAACTTGCTTAATTTATCACTAAATATTTTACCCTATCATAAACATGCACTAGTCCAGGTATTAAATCCAAAGGCTCTTCTTTAAAGTCAAATATGCAGGCTTTATGACAGCTATTTTCTCCCAGATAATTTAAAGCCATTTAAAAATATCATTCAGAATGACATGACTCTATTCATAAAACCATGCAGACACACTGGACTGAAAACTCACCTACAAGAGTCTGGTCAGTGGCCTTGGGAAATCTACTTTCTTCATCAAGTAGGGAAAGTAAACCCATTGGCTTTTGCAGAAACATATCTAAAAGGGGCCGGTTATCCTCATATTCAATAACTCTAGCATCCACATCTTCATTTAGGTATTCATTCTATAACAAAGACAAAACTACTTAAAACTGTGAATAATATATAGCTTGATAGTAATTACCTAAAATTTTACTTTACACATATTAAAATAAATTGCTCCCTTTGACGCTGCTTTTTTTTTTTTTTTTTTTTTTTTTTTTTTACGGAGTCTCGCTCTGTCGTCCAGGCTAGAGTGTATTGGCATGATCTAGGCTCACTGCAACCTCTGCCTCCCATGTTCAAGCAATTCTCCTGCCTCAGCTTCCTGAGTAGCTGGGATTACAGGTGCGCACCACTATGCCCGGCTAATTTTTGTGTTTTTAGTAGAGATGGGGTTTCACCATAATGGCCAGGCTGGTCTCAAACTCCTGACCTCAAGTGATCCACCCGCCTCGACCTCCCAAAGTGCTGGGATTACAGGCATCAGCCACCGTGCCCAGCCTGAACTTGCTCTTAAACTGAGAGTATCATTTTATTTCTCTCTTCACAGAGCTGCTTGCTCCTTAAGGTCAGAACTGATTATACTCAGGGTAATAATAACAGAAGCTCTAGTCTCCATACTAGAATTATGGACATCCTAAGTTTTCAAGATGTAGGAAAATATGTTGTTAATGAGAAGTAACAAAATTATGTTCCAGACTTTACAGAATATTTAACTAGATACATCTTAGAGGTATACTTCCCCCACTGAATCTCTCAAGCACATGTATATAACTTTTCAATCATAATTCCAGCAGACAGCAGAGGGTTATAGAAATAACCAGTGGATTGAGTACCAAAGACACATAGTTTCATCTCTGGGCTCTGCCACTTGACTAGCCACAAAATCCTTTGGAATTTCCTTACTCTATAAACATCTATTTTCTAATCTATTAAATGGGGGTAACAAACCCCATTTTACAAAGTAATAACATATGGCATATTAATAATAATTTGCTGTTGAGTATAGTGTAATATAAGATGTGTATAATGGAAACAATGAACCACAGATAATTACTGTAGGGGTAAGGTACCAGCACAGCATAGGTACCCATGATCTACTTTACAAAAGGGACATGAAGGCTTGTGCCCAGTCGGCTTCTATGACTCTGTCTTCACACTGTCCCCAGCCCAGTGCTGAAGTCTGTCAGACAGAGTACATGCGTGACCTCTGAACCATGACATGCAGCCATGCTTGCATGTGGGGGAGTCACCGCTTCTCAGACGATAAGCAACCACTCCTGGTAAGTGTATGAATCAATCACTGACACGGGTGGAACACTCTGTGACATTCCCATGTTTAAATTACAGACCATTTTCATTGTTATTTTAATATATGCTTTAATTCATTGAATACCGAAGGCACTATAGTGGGTGACAGAGAAGTTTAAAACAAGCTCCTGGCCCTCCACAGAGTTCAAATATAATTCGAGTAATAATGCAAGGTAACATACGATGGATAATTACGATGTATAATGTACTACAATAGTAAAGAGAAAGAAAAATTTCTGGGAACATTTGCAATGTAGCCAGTGGACATTTTGATAAGCTAGAGCTTTTAATCACTATGGTATGGGCCTTATGAAGCTGAAATTTCATTTCAAAGGTGTCACCAGGAAAAATAAATGTATATTTTTAAATAAAGTGAAATCTAATTCACAAAAATGAGAAGAATAGATGGTCTAAAAGGTGGAGAACCTAAAAGGCATTTAGCTTATCCAGTATATGAAAATGAAAACGATGACTTGAAGTTTCACAGCTTTTGTATTTGAAGGTAACCTTGGGAGAAGTGAGTAGACCTAGAATTATTTTACTGTTAGACACATCATGCTCACAGCATATTATAGTTTAAATGGCAACTGCAAAGTTCAAAACAACTTTTGTCTGTTTTATATAGAAAGTACACGAGGTTAAGGTCTAAACTAATGCATTTGTCATTTCTATTTGCCTGTGTCAAAATCCACTGATTGTTTCTGTGGCGGGTCACACAGAGCAGAGATGAGTGGCGTGGAAAACAATGGGCTCCCCTTCAAGACACTTGTTAGTATTAGGAACTTCAGGCAAACCAAGGCAGAAAAAAACGCTATTACTCAGAATTTATAAAATACTTTTAGCAACATTATAATGCCTAAAATAATTATGTATTATATAGCAGTTATGATCACAAAATGCTTAGTTGTTTTCAAGCATATGTGGAGAAACAAAGCTCCTATTTCTTCAGAAAGTCCTCTGCTCTGCCCTGTACATTAAAAATATATTTAGGGACCAGCACGGTGGCTCATGCCTGTAATCCCAGCACTTTGGGAGGCTTAAGTGGGCGGATCATGAAGTCAGGAGATCGAGACCATCCTGGCTAACACATGGAAACCCTGTCTCTACTAAAAATACAAAACATTAGCCAGGTGTGGTGGCGGGTGCCTGGAGCCCCAGCTACTCAGGAGGCTGAGGCAGGAGAATGGCGTGAACCCGGGAGGCGGAGGTTGCAGTGAGCTGAGATCGCGCCACTGCACTCCAGCCTGGGCTACAGAGTGAGACTTCGTCTCAGAAAACAAAAAACAAAAAACAAACAAACAAACAAATATACATTTAAAGCAGAAGGTGAGCAGAGTTATTAACTGTGTTAAAGCTGAAGTGTTTAGTCAATACAATTCCTACTCTCTTCAGACTGTCTGAGTTCCCTTTTGAAAATAGGTGATTATATATCTATTTTCTTCAGGAAAATCAGAAGATTTAGATGTTAGGAAATCTTAGGAAATCCCACACCTGGGTAAAGTTGTCCCTTGTTTTTCTTCTTCTTCTTCTTCTTATTTTTTTGAGACAGAGTCTTGCTCTGTCACGCAGGCTGGAATGCAGTGGCACTATCTTAGCTCACTGCAACTTCCACCTCCTGGGTTCAAGTAATTCTACCTGCCTCAGCCTCCCGAGTAGCTGGGATTACAGGCATCTGCCACCATGTCCAGCTAATTCTTTTATTTTTAGTAGAGACGGGGTTTCACCATATTGGCCAGGCTGGTCTTGAACTCCTGACCTCAAGTGATCCATCTGCCTCAGGCTCCCAAAGTGCTGGGATTACAGGCATAAGACACTGTGCCCAGCCTCTCCCTTGTTTTTCATTGAATTTTGAGTCTGAGTCATGAAGCGGCACAATGGCAGGAAAGCCCATAAAAGGTGCACCTCTCCAGCTACGGCCTAAACAACAAACTTAAATATTTAGGGCCAAAGGGCCATTCCAGGAGAGATTCAAGATGACTACATTGAGCCCTCAGACTTGCACAGCAGCATGGAAGGGTGGTCACCATGGGCTGAGAGAGGCTGCAAGCGTCCACAAGGCTTATAAATCAGGTGCAAATTTAAGTACAGATTACTCAGCACAGATGAGTAATACAATGAAGGTTCACTTTCATCATTTGGGTCTCACCTCCTCAGAGAGACCTTCCTTCATTTTCCTAATTCAGCAATTTCCCTTCCTTAACTGGTCACTCTCCATGCACTCTACCATGCTCTGGGGTACCTCTTTTGTGCATCAGGCTTTTCTGTATTTTCTATTACATCTTAAAACTGAGTAGATGATCACATGGTATGAACATTTTACAGGCTTCTGAAACGTGTTTGTAGATTGATTTTTTTTTTTTTTTTTTTTTTTAAAGACAGTCTGTTGCCCAGGCTGGTGTGTGGCAGCATGATCTCAGCTCACTGCAACCTCTGCCTCCTAGGTTCAAGTGATTCTCCTGCCTCGGCCTCTAGAGTAGCTGGGATTACAAGCGTGCACTACCACGCCTGGCTAATTTTTGTATTTTTAGTAGAGTCGGGTTTTGCTATGTTGGCCAGGCTGGTCTCAAACTCCTGACCTCAAATGAATCCCCCACTGCACCCTAACCTTGGCCTCCCAAAGTGCTGGGATGACAGGCATGAGCCACTGCTCCCGGCTGTAGATTGATTTTTTGAAAGCTTGCAGAAACTGCACTGTAATCATAAACACTTCTAACTTGCTGCATCCTCACAAGCAATGAATATTTCCATTGAAATATTTTTAATCCTTTGGGAGGCTGAGGCGGGCAGATCACCTGAGCTCAGGAGTTCAAGACCAGCCTGACCAACATGGAGAAACTCCATCTCTACTAAAAATACAAAATTAGCTGGATGTAGTGGTTCATACCTGTAATCCCAGCTACTTGGGAGGCTGAGGCAAGAGAATCACTTGAACCCAGGAGTTGGAGGTTGCAGTGAGCCGAGATCATGCCATTCATTGCACTCCAGCCTGGGCAACAAGAGTGAAACTCTGTCTCAAAATATATATATTTTTACATCTATTTTTGATGGGGGAAATGGTAGCCTATTGTTGTATTTGCATTTCTTTGATTATGTATTTACTTAAGAGGATAGATTTTGGGAGAAATAAAGTAGATACATGCTTAGCACATACTACATACTTAATGTCTGTCAACCATTATTAGGAGTATTATTGTTTTGAAACTAGATAATAAGAAACATGACATGTTTTGGACTCAGAGGCTTCCTTACAGCATCAGTTGTTGTGATGTTGCTGAAGATTTGTGAAGCTAGCAATCAGACAGAGTTCAATGAAGGGAAAGTCTCCTGGACTTTCTTGAAAACATCCTTGGTGTCAGGTTGATGTTTGCTCCCTGGTCTCTTTCCCATTTGCTTCTGTGTGTCCTCTTGGTCCTGTGACTACATTCTACAGGAATCCATTCATGAAGCTGGCATTTGAGTGACTTTCCTGGGGAAATCATCCTCTTTAGTGTTGATCTCAGTGGACTGACTTGACAAGGGCAGTCACAACATCAGCTGTGGTTTCTGCAGCCCTTGCCTGGAGGTCTAGACCCCTTCCTTGTCAGCTTGCTCACACTGCTTCTATTGCTCTTGCATTGCCTCTCTGTGGCACACAAAGTAAGACATCTCTTGCCTTTCAATAATATGAGTAATTTTGAAGAAAAATGTAAGCCCCAAGCTTGAAAATTTTTCCTTCTGTCACCATGATGATGATATTATTATCATAACATAATCTTATCAGCAGGTTCTTGAG